ACGCACGCACACTCTCAAATATATCTATATTTACATTAATATATACTATATTAACTGAGTGCCAGTAACGCAAAATGGAACTGTTGAATAAACGTGAATCTCATAAAATTGCTAAATAACCAAAGAAGAAAATGAAAAATCCTGAAAATCAAATGAATGAGAGCGTACAAATATATCAACCTTGAAAGATAACGATCCAAGTGTTTATCAAAAGATATCAGTCATCTTCAAACGAAACGGAAATCTTCTTTAACTTTCGTATTTGTTTGCGTCAGACGGTTTCCGTAAATATTAAATATAGTCAAAAAAAGGAAACAGACCTGACTATAGAACGGCGTACAGAAGAATAACGACAGAGAAAGTGGTGAAAAGAGTGAAACTGATTAGAATTGGAAAATAGAGGAAAAATAAAGCCATGAGAACAATGTTGATACCTATCAGTTTTTCAGCCTGTGTGTTCTAACATTTATTAAAATGAAACTGATCCAGAGATTGAAAAAGCAGACGAGACGCAAGTAGCACACACAAAACTATATAAATTAAAAATGAGAAAAAGGGATGCATACATAGTGAAAAAATGCCCACTCTCTCGCACAAAAAACGCTCTCAAAAGAAGCAAATGAAACGAAAAACTGAATAGCGAAAAAAGCACCAAATAAAAGAAAAAAAGAGAAAAAATGACAACAACAAAAATCTAAGCACTCTGAGATAAAATGAATGTGTGCGCATTAAAAACATTACAAAAGCCATCATTTTGATACATCGTATGAGAGGGAATACATAACAGACCGAAACACAGACAGAAAATCGAGAGATTCCATGTAAACACACACCGTCAATAGAAAATTTTAAAGTGACTCGCGAGCTAGTTCCATTTTCGTTTAGATTTCTGTTTTTCCCTGGTTTTCTATTTCCTTTTGTTTTGTTGCCTCATTTTTTCGATTGAAGTTTTTTATTCAAACGCAACAAATAGAATGGCTTGTAATTAAAGCACATGCAAATGTTGCGATGACATCGACCATACAAGAGATACAGGCGAAATTATTATCAACAACGTTCATTCTAAAACAACAGACCATATAATTTAGCGTACATAATTTTTGGGCTGGCACATTAACGTATCCTTGTAGTCTTTTTGTCTTAATTTTTTGAACACATCATCTAAGTATGAAAAGTCACTAACATTTGGAACCGAAATTATTTGTCTGATATGAAATTTTATGTTTGCACCGCACAATGTACCTGTCCAAACAAAAAAAATTAGTTTTGAGGGCGACTAACTCCATACAAGAGCAAAAAACGTGTAACAATGTTGACGCTCTGCGGCAAAAATATAAATTAAATGGGAAATGGGGGGAATGTCGGATAAAAATCTTTCAGATTAAATCAAATATGATAACGATAGGTGACGATACAAACAATATACTTGTCATTTGAATGAAATGGCTATGTATATGGTGTTTGAAGTGCGCCATCTACTGAAATACAATAAAACAAAAAACTTTTAAGCCGAATAGTATCAGGGAGATTCTTTGGTTTAAGATTTTTGTGCTTTGCTTCAACACAATAATTTAAGTTTCGATTAAACATACATCTCTGTCTCTGTTTGTTTCTTTTTCTTTCTTTCTCTCTATCTCTTTTTATGTTCACCTTGTGTGACCGTCCAACCTCCCTACGATTTTGCACAATTTATGAGATGATGGAAATCACTTTCAAACACTCTATTTCTCGGGCGCATCCCCATTTAGATTATCCTATGAAAAAAAAAATGTTCATTGAATGATCTGAAGGATATTCTCCGTAAACTTTCACCCAAAAAACAACGAAGTAGAGAGAATCTGGTACACATATAAAAGCTTTCATATCAAGCAATACTTACTATATAAAAAAATCCTTCTGCAAATCCATTGATGGCAGGATTGATATAGGATTTTTTCTCTTCATTTCTTTTGGTTTATGCTTTTTTTCATTAAATCTATATTATATGTTTACATTCATTTACCTATTGTCGTTTAGTGTTGAAAAAAAAAAGAATGAAATCGTAATGCATCATGATTTGCAAAAATAGGCTGTTACAAATTTAAAGATATCTAGATAGATGTGGAGATTATTTCAAACTATAGTATTAGCCTATTATTGAAATATTCTTAAATATAAAGTGAGGTTTTGTTGCTTGCATGATTTTTAAATTTATTTATTTTCTAAATATAGAATAATATTTTCGGAGGTCATGATCGTTATTCGCGAAGAAAATTAATTAAAATTATTCGAATTTGCGAGGGTTTTAATTCAAAAATTGAAGATCTTTTTTTTTGCCCTCTCTCTTGAATTCCAAAAAAAACGGAAATTTGTCTGATTTCCTAGAGAATGTATAGTTTTCAAAAAATCATCCCCCCTGAAAAAATTTTTCTCGCTACTGATGTACATAGATTATATTAAGATCAATTTGAGATATTTTCAGCCGGATTAATCAGCTCAGCCAAATATCGTCAGGAGCTGAAATTGAGTGAAAACAATAGAAGTGATTGTTATGGTTATAATAAAACTTACATTGCTACAATTACTAAAACAATCACTTTTATTGTTTTCACTCCATTTCAGCTTCTGACGATATCTGGAACAAAATCAAGGAAAAGTTGACTATACGCCACCTGGGGCCACATTTTGTCCCAAAACTATCATTGCAATGTTGAAACATAGGGAGCCTATGTGCCTGGTTGAGTAATAAAAAAAACTTGCCATTGTTAATGTAAAAAATAATTGTTTCACCTTAGTTGGGTTCATACGTCCTCAAGGAAAAAATTTAAGGAAGGGATAATTGAAAAAAATCGAGAGGGGTAAGCAAAAAAGTGAAGTGTATTTTGTGAAAAGTGTACATTTTTCGTTTTTTTTGCTCTTCACTTTTTTGGCCAAAATCCCTAGCAAATTGAAAGAATTCTTTGAATTTTTTCTGGAGGTAACACTCCGTCAGGGGGATATGGTTGGGTTAGCACCCCGATTCGATCTCCCACATTTTTAAAAACTACATTTCAAGTACTTCATGACTATTTTGACCCAGTGGTTTCAATATTGGCTCCTAAACCTATTTTAAGCTATTTTGAGATCACTAGTTTTGAATACTTGTTGAAAGTACAGCCATATAGGGGTTAGAAGACGGTACACCTTCATTTAGGGGAGTTATTCTAGTGATTCTGGACTTTGTTGGGACAATATAGAATACGATATTGTGTCAGGTATACAAACAATAGAGAGTGAATAAATTTAAATATAATGAAGGAATGTGTACAGTTTTCCCAGAAATTGGTTTTCATTAAAAAATATTTAATTGAAAATAAACCTAAACATACAAGTTAAGTAATGAATATGAAAATATTAAATCAATTCACCTTTTTCAATATGATTTCCTCATATTTCATTCATCAATGGTCGATAGATAGATACCTAAATCAATAAAATGGTACTCAACGTGAATTTTAGCAAATTTTACCAAAATTGGAAATGTTGAACAAACAAACAAAAAGCTATTCAATCAGAAAATGTTGTGAGTGTATTCTTATTTTTGTTATTTTGACACAAGCACGCATGAAAAATAACGAAGAAAATCTTTTTTCATTAAAAGTGTTGATTTTAAATTTCTCGTTGCTGCGATTTAATTGAAAACGATACGCTTCTGCAATGCCTTTTTACACCGGCAAAGTAGCTGCCACATGCTGAAAAGAAGGTTACATGGGGGTAAAAAGCAATAATCAATTCATAAAATGAAATTCCAAAATTTAACAACAATAATGAAAATTCATTACACTTACAGATTTAAAAGAGGAAATCACCGAGTTTTCGTGACTTCAGGAAATAGAAGGACTCCGCTTTGAATGGAGAAAATCGTTTCTTCCATACAAATGAGAGAGAAAGCAAGTGAGCAAGAGAGAGAGAGAGAGATTTAAATTCGTAAATATTGGTCAATTCAGACATTATATTTGGATATTGTCATCAAGATATTTCAGCTCATCTGGCTGACGTCAGACGCTCAAACGCAGTGAAAACAACATAAGTGATTGTTTTGGTGATGTGAGTGTTTTTATACCTATATCAATAATTTCTATTGTTGTCGCTCCATTCCATCGCCAGACGTCAACCAGATGAGCTGAAATATCTGAATGACAATATCCAAATATATTGTCTGGTTCAACTTAAAAATCTTAACAATCGAATTACGATGCGAATGTTACTACTATCACCTTTGGATCGTAAATTTGTTTTAATGTCGATTTGATTACGTGAATTTCGATAGTATGCACACGTCTTGTATAGATGTGCATAATTGTCTATCGCATTTTTAGTACATCGATAGAACTTCTCATGGATGAAACTGATTGACCGGAGTAAGTGAGAAAGAGTGTCAAATACAGGAATTGGCAGTCAAATGGCCAAATAAGTATAGTAAGTACAACGGAAAAATGTGTCTGTGTATGCGGTATGGTGTTAAACGAATGCCCGAATGACCACTTTTCATCAGTTGTGTAATAATAGTGATTGTAGATGATTGTATCTAATAGACATTACGAAGAAGAATTTCTATATATGCATGTTTGTTAAGCCGTAGAACCAAAAGTGTTCGTGCTTCTTTCGCGCGTCGCGCTTTGCGAATTTCTTTCGTCTACTCTATTCACAATATATACATACACTTTTTTAAAATGATTCTCTCCGCCGTTTTTCCCATTACTCACACTCTCAATCTCTCTCCCTTTATCGCGAACCATTTGACGTTCTGAATACAGGCACAACGATTGGTGTTCTATCGTTCTATGCTTTGCGCGTTCGCTTGTTCGTTACATATGCACAACAGGCACACAGGCAACAAGAACAAATGTGGAATCGACACACTCAAAGCTATGCCTCGCAATAGAACGCGCGTGAATGTGTATTTTCTCTGTGCACAGTAAGCCGAGTTGGAGCTTTGGGATGCTCTATTTCATCGCTCAGTTCAATGTCGGTTTTGCTTCCGTTAAGACCATATTACATTTCGTTCAGCGCTGTTCTGTGTGCTTCGGTTTATCGTCGTCATTCAATTCGCTCAAACGCTATCGCATAGACGTTACACACAAAATATATTGAGATCGTGAAAAAAGAGAAAAAGAGAAAGACAGACAGACAAAGAAAGAGCAAGAAGCTATCAAAAATGAAATTCAAAGACATTTGGCGGCAACATTGAAATGAATATTTGTTTTCGGTGTTCGTTCAGTTTGATGCTACTCATTAATGGATTCTTTGTGAGATTTTAAAAACGAAAAACGTTATTTTTTGTTGTTGTATATTCATTTGTCTTGGAACATTACAAACAGTATCCATTTTAATTAACTTTTTGGCACTTCGCTGTTTCCATTCCACACAGCACCTAATACAAGAGCAAAAAAACTGCCATAAAAAAATGAGATAGAAAACTTAAAAATAAGCACAAAGAGAAAAAAAAAAAAAAAACAAAAAAAAGTGATAGGAGCGAAAAAATCCCAAGAAGAAAAATCATACGCAAAATTGGAAGTCATCATAAAATTCGTTTTTCTCCTATTTTCTTTTACACAAAATAATATTCACACACGCTGTAAATGCCAATAAATTAAAAGTTAATTTGGTAGTGCATTTCCGAATCGGATTCAATTTGCTTTCACAATTGTTCTCCAACTGTTTTTTCCTCTTCATTGAAATTTTGATGCGGATTTTACGTGATTCATTCGATTTGTTCGAAACTTTCAAGCGCTAAAACGATAAATCTTTTTTGAAGGCAGGAAAAGACGTGAGAAAAAAAGGACCGGAAAAAGAGATAGACAGCGGGAGCGAAAGATCGAGCAAAGAAATGTGCATGTGCGCGCTTTTATGCTGACAAATCGAATTTTACTTAAAAACTCTTATTGACAGTGCGTACCGTGGATAGTCAAGTAGACAGGATCTCGGTTAACGAAAACGCGAAGAAAAAAAAGTATATTACATTACAAAACAATCAACAAGGAGCAAGAAATAAATGAACATGTAAGGAACCAAGAAAAAGAGACAAACAATAAAAAGAAAATTGAAAATTCTTCTGGAAAAGATAAAAAGACAAAAAAAAAATCGACATCTGAAGTTGGTGGAAATAGAATTTTTTGGTGCGATTTCGATTGCGTTAAGACCATTGTTTTGTTAATAGAATTGTAGTGGTTTCGAAGTTTTCGATTTTCGACAATATTTTTTATTGACATCGACCTTGAAAGCTATCACACCGTTGTATTTTCGCCATGGTTTAACGGAAGAATCGATCACAAACACACATACACACATCGCTCGCATATCTAGATTCAATTTTGCAGCCACGATCACACGGATTCACAATGTAAGCAAAAATCTTTATCTAAATATCTCATTGTTTTAAGTTAATTTTAATATTATATTATATGTGTACATTCATACGACTTCCACGAAATGAGTAATATCGATGTTCTTGTTATATATGATGCTCCCTTCCCATAATCGTGTAATTTTAAAAACATAAAATTTAGTGACGCGATTGTTGTTATGTGTCGGTCTTGGATCGTATGAATGTGCTTGACGCAATTGTTATGGGCTCATAAAACTTTTAAAAGATTCTACACACATTCGTATGTAATGTCGGTAAAATGTGTTCATGCATACAATCGTCCCAATGATCGAAATAAGCATTTTTTTTTTGCTGTGTATTATTAACTGGCCATAAACATACCCAATTCGATAAACCGTACTCTTTACCTTGGCATATGAAAATTCAAACAAACAAACGAAGAAAAAAAATAGAAGGGAAAAAACACAACAGAAACGTACTTATATGCGAGAATATACGTAAAATGGTGTGTTCTATATTTGGTACGATATAATGATGTATGAATAAGTTAGAAATTGACTGCGATGGGCATAAATGCATTTATCCAATGGAAAGTACGTGTTCATTTGTCTCATCGTATTCGTTCATTATTTCACTTGTTGTTTTTACTTGAAAGTATGCTTGCTCTTTTGCTATATTTTCAATATTGTTTTTATTCTCTTTCACTCTCTGTTTTGTTCGTTTCTATTCAAACTCAATCACTTTAGTGATTTTTCTGTTAGTGGTTTGCAGATTATTGCAAATGCTACTCGAAGTCGTATTGAAAGCACTTGATTTGTGAAAAGAAATTGATAAAAAAAAACATTGTCATGCCATTCCATTATTGTTGCATATATGCGCTTTATGTACTTTTTTCTGCTCTCGCTTTCACTCTCTCATAAAACTCTGAACCCATTTGATGAATACATTCATAAATCTATATTTAGTGTAAAAAAAATATTTCTATTTTCAGTCGTATCGCCACCGAAGCTATGTTTGTTCGGCTGGAGTAACGACGCTCACCCTTCGTAGAATTACCTGTAGGCACTGTGTGGTGAGACCTAAAAGTTGGGGTTTTTCGGCGTCCCCTCGAATCCTCGTTAACATTGTGTTAGCAAATTATAAAAATTTGTCAAATGAGAAATATTTCCTTCTTATTCGCTTATTATGTCTTGTAAAATAGAGGAAACAGCATTGTCTTATCTCTTGTTGAATGTTGTTGCTTTTTATGTAGTTTTCCACCACACTTAAAGTTCAAAATACAAATTTAACTAAAGCTAATGAGCAGTGGGCCTGCCCTCGACCGTTATATAAACCGGTTGAACAAGAATTGAATTGATTCTTAATTTAAGAATAAAACTTGTTGTCATTTAGTTTTTAATTGTCGTTTACCATAATAACTATAACTAAGGTAAGAAACCTTTTAATGATAGTGTAAGATAAACGACATAAACGTTTTGTGTGATTTTGGAACATTAAGATTCAAAATTATTCGAAAAATATTTTCAAAAAATAATGCGTGTTTTTTTTAAAAAGAGATAAAAAAATTTGTTGATGATTTCGGGTGAAATGTCATGCAACAGGGAATCGATCGGTATATTATGTATTAGGGTGCGCGCAGAAAAAAACAACGAAAAAAAATTGGAGAAAATGAGAAACTATCATAGACCCAACTGAATGCAACTGTCCTTGCGGTTCTTACAACTTATTTTGATTGTGGTTTTCCTACCAATCGGAAATATCATTGTATTCGTGAATAAATACCATGTGTACGCGTTGTTTACCTTGGTAAATGATTGTATAGGATTGACTCTCGGACTATTTCACATGTCAAGCAAAAGTATTGGTGCATTATATTGATGTGTCTGTATGTTGATTCGGTTGCAATTCAAGGCAACATTCGTATGGATACCATGAAAAATTCATACAATTCATAATATCAGTCTTGTTCATTGTGCCACCAAGTTCACTCCATCTTCCCCACTATGTATATCGCATATAGTAGACGAAACACTTACTAAAGTCACACACACATACATACACATACACCGCGAATTGTGCGGTGCCTTGCCGAACAACCTCATTGACAAAACATTACGTTGTCGATGGATGTGGCAAACAAAAAAGAAATAACAACGGAAAATGGAAAACGCCATTGAATATATACAAAACACATCGTTACAATCACGCCTAAATGCGTGTAAATCGATTCTTAAAACGATGAAATTCAATAAATCTTAAACATACTTGCTTACAATGTAATGATTCGCTATAATTACGTCCTGCCACAGGAAAAGAGAGAGGGAGAGAGAGAGAGATAGAAAAAAAATTCAATTAGCATCCGTATTCCATCTAATCAATCAACGTTCATCCTATATAATATTTTACGACTTGCCATTTTCATCACGATCATTCAAATTTTAACTTGTCCCAAACGCAAAGAAAATCATTTTAAACCACTTTGCCAGCACATTTTTTTTATTCCCAATAATAATATAAACGAAAAACATGGCTTTTTTGGCTTGTACCAAATAATAGTTCCATTTCAATCGTTATATACTATCTGTTTAATCCAAAGATTTGGCAAAAAATACAATTTAACAGAAATTCATTTTCGTTCCATTGATGGAATCAAGAATTACGTACACAAGCAGTGTGTAATTGTCGATGTGAGAAAAAAAAAAACGTACATACATATTTTGTCAAACCTTCATTCGACCCGAAGAAAATGTTAGTTTAGGCACATGTTATTTCTGTTCGAATGCTCGTAATATACCATAACTTTGCACGCAGCCAGAATTATTGTGCAGAATGGCGATTACGATGGGAATGAAAAAGGCGAGAGAATAAACTCTTCATTTTGAAAGCACCGATCATTTCGATGTATCTTTTGCCAAATAAAATGTGGTTTGTCTATTTATGTTTTGAATTGGTTAAGTTTGGCATGCTGTTGGTTCATTATGTTACAAATAATCTATAGTACATTCACTTTGGTACATTCGCTTTGGCCGCGCTTCTGCCATATCCTTTAATGTCCAATTGAAGTGTGAAATGGAACTTTTGACACGTAACAAGCACATGAATGATCGCATGCATGGATAAAATCGTGTCAATTTTATAGCTCGAAATACGAAATGCGAAAGTAACCTAATACGGATCACCGACTTTACCTTTACAATTCTTTATCACTCTCTTTCCATTCGTGTGTTTATCTTGTTTCTATCGTTTGCTCACTTTCTCATTCGGACAATCAAATCTGCAATTGAATTGAAATGGATTTATGCTTATCCAGGAAGGCGTATAAGTAAGGATAAAAGCATGTAAAACTTCTAGGTTGGCTTATATGTCCAAGAAGTTGATGCCACAAATCCGACATGAACTTTCTTGTCCCCATGTTTTCTGCACTCTTTTTGCTCATTTCGCAAAACAAAATAACCACAAAAAACTTCACCATGCTTATTTCTTCTCTCTTTCTTTTTTTCTCGTTTGTTAAATAGCCTTTGATGTTTTCACATTCAACTTGGAAATATTTAAGTTAAAATATACTGATGAGTAGAAAATGTTATGCAAAAAAAATGATTTTTCAGTTGTTATTCGACTTTATTTTGCTGTTACACGCCTCAACTTTATTATTATCATACAACGACCAGACCAAAACTTAAATTAAGGGAATGAATGATTGCAGAATGGAATTGAAGACAAAAACGGTTTCGTTTCGAGTTTAAATTACATAAATTTACTTGACCATTTGTTTACGAGGAGTTTTATTTTTCGTTTTATTTTGTTGTTGCTGGGGCCGCGTTAAAAGCAACAACAAAATATAATGATTTGCGATGAGTTTCATCTTGTCAGCCAGCTGATACTATATCAATCCTATACATATCACGATAGACAGACACACACCCATATACAAATGATATGTTGATTGTGTAGTGCCAAGTGAAACGCTATTTACGAAATTAATAAAAACACTTTGAAGAGTGAAGTTAATTTGTGCGTGTAACACGCGTCACATATGAAATTGCTTGAACTGAATACAGACGAAAATAAAATCGTGCGCTTCTGATCTCGAAAATATAATTACTTGAATGTATCTTTTAGCATTGATATTATTAATAACATCTTCAATATAAATGAAATCGGGAAAAAGGAGCGAAACATATGCACGCTAAAAGTCTTTGAAATGTTGAAGCACATTGATCGTGTGTACAGACTACATCAAATCAATCTATAATCAAACGGAACGAAAAATAATACCAAAAGAGCAAGTGCAGACAAGCGTCTCGAAAAGACTACGGTTCATAAAGCATTAAAACAAAACGGCAATACAAAAGAATGAAACATGGGAGGTCGACTTCTATTATGTTGCCCATCGAATTTTGATGTTTATTGTTAAATATCGCTTATTGCTATCTGATTAAAACCAAATGATTTCCATTCAGAAAAACCATTTTATCGGTTTTTGGCAGTATCTCATGAGTTAATGTCATTTCGAACATTTTATTCATCATTCAATTCATTCGCGATTGATGGTTGATACGTTTAATGTAAACAATTAGCAAAATAGTATGCATGTGAAATGGTGGAACCCAACAACAAAAATCACATCAATGTATTTTAAAACGCAGTCTATCGTGACAATATTCTATGCGATTAGCGCTCGGTCATAAATAAACATTCGCAAAATTTCGGAACAAGAAAGAAATGTTCACATTCAAAATCAATTAAATGTCAGTTGCTGATGCTATGCCGCTGTTTTCATTCGTTTTGTTTCAATTTAAATGTTAGTTTTAAACACTCAAGCTCAAGCCACTCATCACGACCTAGCGCCAACTTAGTTGCACAAAGACACCCGATTATATTATATATTACTGATGATGTACTCACCTAATGGCTTCACGTTTTCCTATTTTAAATTACAGTGAATGCGATTGTCCCTATTTGCATGTACATTGTTCATTTGAAAAAAAAAAAGAACTATTTCGATTGATGCTACT